GTCATCTCCAAATTAAAAAAAATAAAAAATAAAAAATAAACCAAAAACAAAAGCAAAAAAACATAAACAGTAGATACAGATACATATATAAATATATAATATTTGATAGTGAGATGCTTAAAATCTAACTTGACCTCCCTCCAACATTGTAAACTTTTGACTACTTTCCTTTATTTATAATGCATTTTTAACTTAATTTTTATTACACTCCAATTTTTCTTTAACCTTTACTGGCTATTCCTTCCCAGTCTTTTGTGGGAGCCTCTTACTTTGCCAATGCCTTAATCGTGAGATTTTCTCAGCGCACAACTCTTGGGCCCCTTTTCATCTCATTTTACACATGTTTTTGAGCTTTAATAACCATTTTTATGGGAGGCAGCCAAGTATTATAGTTAAGAATATAGGCTATTGAATCACACTGCCAGGGTCTGAACCTGGGGGTCCACTCTTACTGCTATGTGACCCTCCAATCCATTCTTCATGTTGCAGTTAGTCATCTCTGTAGGAGGCAAATTTGACCTGCTTAGGTCCATATTTTTAACCTATCATCAGTGGCTTTTCATTGTTACACGTCCCCATTTCTTTGTCTAAGCAAATAGGGACATATGAGTTTCGGAATCCAGGTTTTTAGGTTTTAGAAAGACAACAGAATGGAGGAACTGTATGTAATACAATACCCCAGGTAATATGTGGGACAACACGTCATAATCAAACATACTGATGTATTTCTGATATATAAAGATCCTTACACTAAGTAGAGGAAGAAAGAAGAATGTGCGTGGTTTCCATTATTTTGATCATGTCATTCCATCCAAAGAGAACAGGCAATGTCTTCTTTTATCACTAAATTAGCTCTAAAGAAAGTGATTGATTTTCAGTGTATTTTGGGCCTTTGAAGAATGTCCAAACACCCAACACGACTTACAGAGCCCCTTGTCATCTGGCTTCCGTCTGTCACCAGCCTCGCCTTTCATCTCTTCCCTTCTGACACTCATTTCTGACGCTGAGCTTCTTGGAACAAGACCGTCTCGCATGACTTACTTCTTTGCCTTCAGTCTTAAGCTGAGCGGCAGTGATCAGGTAACTTCTGAAGATAAAATTAGGGCATAGAGACACCAAGTGTGAGATAATTGGGGTTCAGATCAAAGGATGACTTAAATGAAATACTTAGAAAATTGAATTTGAGTTTGAAAAGGACAAAAATAGACTTTCAGAAAAAAAAATTCTGATAAATGTGTCGGAAATTGAGTTGAAACAGGCAAGGCCAGAGGATCCAGGGACCACCTGCCACAACAGAGGCAAAATAGCTGAGTTATAGCAGGACAGAAAGAAAAGGATTTTGACATGCTTTTCAGATTTAAAAAAAATTAGCAAGGTATGCTTATCCAAGATCAGATGTGGGAAGAGAGGAAGATGGAGGTCAAAGATATCTTCCAGGAATTGCGTAGAGAGTACACTTTAACTACAATAGTGTGCAAAGGAATTAGAAGCTGGAATACACTATTTGTCTCAGGGCAGATGGTACAGACTCATGCACCAACTTGTCTGGATTGTACTAGAGGACAGTCTAAAAAATAAATACATTATAAAAATAATAAAATTAATTATAGGGATGGTAGATATCATAACAGGGGAACCTAATTTATCCAGGGATGTGGTGGTTAAAAAGTGAGGAAAGGCTTAATTACCTAAATTATTCAGATGAAGAAAGAACATTCAGGGCAGAGGAAACAGCATGTCCTTGTGGTTAAGAAAAAAAAAAAGAGCTTGAGCTGTGCTAATTGTGGAGCAGAGGCAGTGTGTTTGTGAGAAAGGAAAAAGTCTGAGTGTGAAGATGAGGTTAGAGACATGGGCAGGGACACATTTGTGCAACTTTGCGGATCGTGCAGAGGATTTCTGTTTTATCAAACGTATATTAGATTGTCATACGAAGTGAAGTCAGCCAGAAAGAGAAAGAAAATTACCATATGATGTCACTTATATGTGGGATCTGTAAAAAATGACACAATGAACTGCTACAAAACAGAAACAGACTCACAGACATAGAAAATAAACTTAGGTTACTGGAGGGGAAAGATGGAGAGAGAGATAAATTGGAAGTTCGATATTTGCAGATACTGACCACTATATATAAAATAGGTAAGCAACGAGGTCCTACTGTGTAGCACAGGGAATCATATTCAGTATCTCATAATAACCTACAATGAAAAATAATATGAAAATAAATATATATATATATGTATAAATGAATCACCATGCTGTACACCAGAAATTAACAACATTGTAAACTGATTATACTTCAACTGGAAAAAAAAAAACCAAAAAAAAAAAAGAAAAGAATGGGAAAGTTTTCATCTTGACAGTGATATGATCAGCTTTCTGTTTCAAGAAGATTAATCAGGCAGGTATAGAAAGAAAAGATTGGAGGAGACATTTTTTGAAAATGATATGGGCTTTGTTGGAACCCTTTCAGTAGTCCCACCAAGAAGGGAGACTACCTTGAACTAGAGCAGTGGTTCTTCACCAGAACTGCTTTAGCCCCTAAGAAATCTTTGGAGATGTTAATTGTCATAACTTATGTGTGTGTGCGTGTGTGTGTGTGTGTGATGTGCTCCTGGCATCTAGTGGAAAGAGGCCAGGGATACTGCCAAATATCGTACAATGAGCACTATACTCCCCATGACACAATATTATCCAGTCCAAAATGTCACTGATGACAAGGTTGGGAAACCCTAGACCAGAGGGAAGGCAGTAAGAGGACTGGGTAGATTTATGAGAAGTTTAGGAGATAGAAGGGTCACATTTAGAGTGCGTTCCATATATTAAAAGGATTCCAAGTTTCCTGAGTTAAATGACTGTGTGGATGAAAATACTGCTTACCATGGAAAGGCAGAAGTTCAATTTCATACACATGCAATTTTGACAGCCTTATGAAGCCTCAAATGGAAATGGCTAGTAATTGGATATCTTGATCTAGAATTTTAATAAAAAGAGGTGTGTACACTTGAATGGCATGGAATACGGATAGTATTTTAAGTCACGAAGGGGAGGTGCCTCTTCTACAGAGAGAATAATTGGCCAAATCAACATCAAACTGCAAGAAACATTATATACAGGAAGCCAACTAAAGGTGAAAGGGAATTAGGGGAAAATTAGACAGAAAGCCAGAAGTGTGATGTCACAGAAGGACATAGTAAAACGTATTTCAAGGTCAAGGACACAGGTACCTGTGTTAAATGTGGTTAAACATTCACATGGCATCACCCTAAAAATGGCCACTACATTTAGACACATAAAAGCCACTGCTGAACATGTCAGGTGAATCTCAGAAGAGTGTTAAACCAGAGACAAATAATATGGTTATTGAAAGACAGTAAGACACCAAAGAGTTGACCAGCTGATCACATAAGTCTTGAGAGAATTTGATCTTTAAAAATAAAATCTATATAATCATCGAGGAAATGATGCTAACATAACATTTTGGATTAAAGAAGATTGTATTTACAAGGCTGAGAAAACAGAACCATTAGAGTAGGTGAGGAGCATGAAGTGTTGGACAGAGAAAGCAATAATATTTGATCGAGGCTGTAAAAGGCAACTTTGCTTGGGGTGGAAGTGGGGACAGATAAGGGTTCCTTCAAGCACTAAACTGGTTATGATTAATTTGAGGATTATATTTAATTATGAAAGAGATATTTATATTCACTTAATGTTGTCTTAAAGGAAAGTGTTAGAAGCAAAACAGTAAGTGTGCATGTATATATTTCTTTTAGATGAATGTAAAAGTCAAAAGCCAATGATTTGATATATTCCTTAATTTTATAAATAATTTGGAGCATCCACTGTGTGGCAGATGCTGTGACAAAGAAAATTAAGCCCTGTTTCTGATCCAGAACAACTTCTGTGCACTCCACTCTCACCCATAGGTGACTGTCCTGCAAGTTCAAATGGCTGAAATCTTCATCTGCATGATCCTCTTCAAAAGACCATCCCTTCCACTCCCTCCATGACGTGTGTGTACGCTCACCCCAGGGAATTGCTACTAAGATACAAAAAACCTACTGCAGAAGAGTTAAAGCTGTGAGATGAATACCTGTAAGGTATGATGAATTCGATTTTGGCTTTGAGGGATGAGAAGAATTCGGGGAAGCAAGCAAGACATTTGGCAGAGATCTGTAAGCAAAACAATGGGCAGACTATTTCAGTGGTGACTGATAAGCAAATACTACAGGAGATTAGAGAAAACAATCATCCAAGAAACAAGTAGAAAAGATCAAATTACATAAATAGCTTTTTGCATTCCAATTTCTCAAAGATGCTTTAAGGCAGATGTTGGATATTATAATAAGTCAAAAAAAAAAGACATCTCTAATTCGAGGACTTTTCTTTATACATTGATTTTTTTATAGCGATGAGGATAATTTTAACTACTTAATATGAAGGGAAGTTTTTTGCTGCTTTGTCTTTCTAGAACAATGAGCAAAAGAGAACTTAGCAGGGAGTGAAATGAATCACTCTCTAAGGTGTCTCGTTTCTCACTCCCAACTGAGTTGGCAAAGGTTAGCACACTATTAAAATTCAAGTTTTTGCAAATGTATTTCATTGACAGTCAACTCACTCAAGGTATACCAGTTTTTAGCAATTATTCTCGGCTATGGTCTACGTGTTTGCCAAAGAATCTCTGCCTCACACAGAAAAAGCATTCAATAACGCCAAGTGGAATCAAACATGAGCTGCTTAATGAGGATAAACTATATGAGTGGGTAAATAGAAGGTGGTTTGAAATAACCATCTCCATGGTAACTTGGAATGCTCAAAAATATAACTAAAAGAATTGAGTCTATTTCTTTGGGGACTGTATTTGGTTTTTCACAGAGGCGATAAGAAAACCTAGGTAGGCACATCAGATAAAATGCAAATGCTATCACATCAAAACGTTTTTTTTTTACCTGGGTGTTCATTGTTCACGTGAATCTGGGATCTGGAAGAATAAACTTCTGGGGTTGTCAGCACAGCATTGCTGGAACTGCTGGCTTCGGAGGCAGTCACACCTGGGTTACTAAATTAGTGATAATTCTTATCTCATAAGCTTGTGGCAAGGATTAAATGATCCCACAACTTGCAAGGTTCTTCACGGAGTAAATGCTTCGTAAAACATATATAAATAGCTGAGATGGAGGTTATGATGGCTGTTACGAGTAACAGTTTACACAGTCACAAACAAAATCCCCATCATCCCGCTCAGGGAAGAAGTGAGGGCACTACCTACATGCATCATGGTCCATGTCTTTGGAGACAGAACACACCTTATTTCTGAAAAAAAAAAGAAAGAAGAAGAAGAGAAAAGAGAGAGAGGAGCAGAGTGGCTTCTATAAACCAGAATAATTGAACAGCAGTTAAGAAAACACATGAATATATTCAGTTATAGCCTAGGTTAATTAACTGCTTTCATGATAAGACACGCACAAGAATGGAGAGGGTCTGCATCACATCCAGCGCAGTGAGGGTTCATATATAAACATGGCTGGGAGAAGGCAAGGATATCAGAGTATCTTCTCACTACAGCTCAGCTGAACTCACATCTCCTGTCACCATGTCCCACATCTGCTGCTCTGGAAACTTCTCCTCCTGCTCCCTTGGGGGCCACTTGCACTACCCAAGCTCTTCCTGTGGCTCCTCCTACCCCAGCAACCTGATCTACACTACGGACCTCTGCTCTCCCAGCACCTGCCAGCTGAGCTCCTCTCTGTACAGTGGCTGTCAGGAGACCTGCTGGGAGCCCACCAGGTGCCAGATGTCCCATGGTGTGTCCAGCCCCTGCCAGTCATCCTGCTATTGCCCTAGGACATCCACGTTCTGCAGTCCCTGCTGGACAAATTATGCTGGGTCTCTGGGCTCTGGGTCCGGCAAAGGCTACTTCCTGGTCTATGGATCCAGAAGCTGTGGGTCCAGTGGATCTCTGGGTTCTGGATTCTTTGGCTTCCCCTCCCTGAGCTGTGGATCCTGCCATCCAATTTATGTGGTTTCTTGAAGCTGCCAAACTTCTTGTTACCAGCCAACCTGTAGATCTGGCCTCTTCTACTGATCACCTTAAGGGTTCTAGTCTGTGACTTCACTGTTACCTCCCTCAAAGTTGATCTCAGCTGCTACCTGGCTTGAGTCTGTATTCTACTACCTAGAAGAGTGATGATTAAAACAATCCTTTTAATATTAAACTCATTTATCTCATAAAATACACATTCTGTTTTCCTTCTGTTTTCTTCTATTTTCTTCCTTCCTTCTCTAGTTAAAAATGCAATAAGAGGTATTTTTTCCTTTCAAATAAACTCATTTAATCTGTTATCAGTTCACAAATCTTGCTATTAATTAAAAAAGAAAAAGATGTCTGTTGGAAATCCCAAACCTACTGTTACTTGTCCACAAATAAAGATTTGATTTAAGGAACAGATTCCCTCGTTGGTAGAATTATCTGCCAGTACAGAGTTAGTTTCCTGAAATTTTTTGGGGGGGTGGGAGGTAATTAGGTTTATTTATTTATTAATTTTTAGAGGAGGCACTGGGGATTGAACCCAGGACCTTGTGCATGCTAAGCATAAGCTCTGCCACTTGAGCTATACCCTCCCCATCTCCCTGAAATTTTTGGCAAGTGGAATCAGAGCCTGGGCAGGAGATGATCCTAAACTCTTCTGTGCGAGGTCACTTCCGTCTTATCAGGACACCTTACTTTGGTTAAACTAGTCATGGGTCTGATCCAAGAAGACAAGTTTCAGAGACAGTAGTGATGCTTCAGGCAAGTGCCAGACCGACTGTTTTAGATAAGGAAATTTTAAAAATACTTTAATGAGACCCTTTTACAGAATTATGCAAGCCGTAATGGAATTCTGGGGTCATGAGTCCTCCTTCTGCTTGGTCAGTCTGTAAGGCCATCCATCTTCATGGAAGTCTCCTGAGAACTTCTAGAGACACAGCAGTATCATGAGTAGGAAATATGGACTGAGAGGGAGAACTTCTTGACATCTTGGGTTTATAGCCGATACGATAACTTGATATGATAACTGGGTATGATCTGGATGGATAGTTTACTGTTTTCTTGTTTGGGGGATGCAGGCATCCACATTTGGAAATGCATAAGTGGGAAGGAAATATGTAGTTGGATGTGGACAGCTTATTGTTCATCGCCCTCACAATTGCTTTTCTCTCCCTCTTCTTCCCACAAGAACTGGATTTTGCTTGTGTATCCCCTCTTATCCACCCCTAACCAGCCCTTTATATGAACGTGGCTATGCCTGAGTTTCAGGATTGAATCTGGCTAGCCCAGGGGCTCCCCGTCCCCATTGAAAGTGAATGGTTCAGAATGGAGCATGTGATCTGACTCAAACCAATGAGAAGCGAGGAGTGATCTGGAGAGGTGATTCTGGTAGAGTTCTTCTTGTGGAGTTTTTTGAAGCAATCATGTGTTCCTCTGGATTTTTGTCATATCATATGTAGAATACTACATGCATCTTGCATATGGCCTCAAAATTGAACCATCACATGGAAGAGAGTAATGCCAGGAGAAATGCTGAGGAACAGAACCCTGACCATCTTATTTCTGGACCTCAGTAAACATGAGCTAATAAACGGTATTACTTAAGCCATTTTGAATTACTATTTCTGTTACTTGCAGCTAATGTTTTTCTAAATGAGACACATTTAAACCTGAAAGAAGCCCCCTTCCCAATAAAGTCTCCTTAATATAATGTTAAAGATTCTTTGCAGCCCACCTCCACCCTCTCCCAGTCTCTCTTCTCACCACCCCCTATACACACACTCCACCAACATGCCCTCCATCAATGCTACCTAATCCTATTTTCCTGAACACATTGTGCAGAACTGAGCTCTGATATAGTCTAGTACCTCTAGAAGGAATGCCATATCTCTCTTAATCTTCAAAACCCAAGGAAATATTTTATATCCTTTCTCTCTTTCTAGATTTCAAAATCAATAGAGTTGATTATTTCCTACATAATGCCAGCATTATATATGCTTATTTTTTGTTTATTACAAAGTCACTATTTAAAATTTTTCTTTTAAAGTACTATTTTGGTTAATTCGCACTGTTTGGTTACCCTTGTCATATTTTCAATGAATACAATGAATGCTGACCAGCAGAATCATGCAAGCAGTAAATCCTCAATAAAAGTTAACTGAATAAATGAGTGAATGAAACAGAGCCAGGATGACAGTCTGCAGGATGTATTATGTCAGTGATGTTGAACATGCACCCATTTTAACTGGTTGAACTCTATAGATAGCTGGTTGCCATCAACGTCATCAGTCATCTGGGACCATCATCAAAACTGACTTAGCACATCTCAGTGGCATATTGTCACAACTTCAGTACCCATGGGAGAAGCGGAGGAACTCAGAAACAAATTCACATTTTTGCATCACACAAAAGCAGAAGAATAACTTCACCAAAAGCTAACCTTGGAGGCAGGCCAGAGCAAGTTCCTCCAGGGAAAGGAACAAAAGCAATTGTATAATTACTATAATAAACCATGACACTTCCATATCCAAGACGTAATGAACAAGGGGGTGGAAAATACGGGATTCAGTGCTCAGGTGGTCGAGATACTCTGGTTCATTCTTTATTCCAATTACCAATCATTAAAGTTTACACAGATAATGTGTAATCATTTAAATTTTCTCTATTTTTTTCTTTTTGGTTCTTCGAATCAAAGTCTGATGTAATTGAATAGTAAATAACCAAGGATTATCCCAAGAAGCAAAATTATTTAGAGAGAGTTTCAGAGAAGAAACATCATGAGTGAATCCTTTTATTATCATATTCTAAGAGAATCTATATACTATCAGAAACAGAAAGCTGGCAAGAGGTTATTTCCATATTCCACATAGGATCACTCCTATGGTCACAATGTCAAAATTTTGATAGCTCCAATTTTGTGTGTGTGTTACAGTGTCTGAGAAGGGTTACTTTACAGAATGTTGTATCTAAAGGAAATTACTCATTCCACTCAACACACTCTTTCCAGGTGGACCAGTGTGTTCTTGGCCAGAAAGCATACTTTCTGTTTATTATTCAAGTTATTCTCAAATACAATAGAACAGTACATTTAAAGTTGTGAATTTCTACCAGGATGCATGGGAATTAATCATCTATAGACTTCAATCTTTTGTCTGTCCTTTAAAAATTTTTTATAAATAATCTTCATAAAGATTAGATGGCTTAAAGGAAAGTGTGGGTTCCATTCAGTAGGTAGATTTGACAAGATATCATTTAATGTCCTTTTTAACTCTAAGATATTAAGATTCTGATATAAAATCATAGAATGTGACAGCTGGAAAGGACCTTAGAGATCTTCTCATCTAAACTCATTATCTTGTAAGCTATCCAGAGAGGCAGAGGGCCTCGTCCAAATTCATGTAGTGAATTAA